TAGTAATTAATCCCCCATATAGTAATTCATCCCCCATAGTAATTCATCCCCCATAGTAATTCATCCCCCATATAGTAATTCATCCCCCATAGTAATTCATCCCCCATATAGTAATTCATCCCCCATAGTAATTCATCCCCCATATAGTAATTCATCCCCCATAGTAATTCATCCCCCATAGTAATTCATCCCCCATATAGTAATTCATCCCCCATAGTAATTCATCCCCCATAGTAATTCATCCCCCATATAGTAATTCATCCCCCATATAGTAATTCATCCCCCATAGTAATTCATCCCCCATATAGTAATTCATCCCCCATATAGTAATTCATCCCCCATAGTAATTCATCCCCCATATAGCAATTCATCCCCCCTATAGTAAGTCCCCCCTGTGTCAATTTACTTACCTTTGCTCCGCACGTTCCTTTTGACGTGTTCCCGCGCCGTTCCGGTCTTCAGGGCGGACTGTGAGAGGAGCCTAGCTCCCCTCACGTTCGCCACGCTGCCCCGCCTACACACATCCTGACAGCCAATGTATCACGCTCCGCGGGCCGGATTAAAAGGTCCGCCGGGCCATATACGGCCCGCGGGCTGTAGTTTGCCCATTGCTGGTCTAACCCTTTCCAACTTTATCCAGAGCCAGGGGCGGACTGACAACTCATGGGGCCCCTGGGCAATAGGGGATCATGGGGTCCCTGTGTCCTTGCCCAAACTCAAAAAAGCCTATGAAAAAGGTACCAGGGGCATCTCATGGGGCCCCCTACTGACCCCAGGCCCTCGGGCAGTGCCCGAGTTTCCAAATGGTCAGTCCGGCCCTGTCCAGAGCTAAAAAGAATTGCCTTTACATACACTTTAAGTGTGTTCATTGTTTTACTCAATGGATAATGTACACAAGAGTGTCAGTTTGCAGGGGTCATGTAAGTGTGTTCGCTCATGGTCAAGATTGGAATATGCAAGAACATCAGTTTATGAAGTCTCATGAGTTATTTACGTGTGTTCATAATTTAGCTGAGGGTTAAAGTTATAAAACACAAGAACACCAAATCACAGAGCTGTACAAGTTATTTATGTGCGCCATTTTAGCTTGCAGACAAGATTATGAGTTATTTATTAATTGCAGTTATTTATATAGTCCCAACAATTTACATAGCACTCTACACCTTGTTCATTGCATGTTTGGAAACAAAAATACTGTATATATTTTAACACTAAAATTGTTTACCTGTCAATTTACACTGACAATTTACACAGCACAGCACTGTACATCCACATCAGTCCCTGCCCTCAAAAATCTTACAATCTATGGTACCTATCATATATATGTATATATACACACCATGTGCTGTCAATTTACACTGACAATTACACAGCACTTTACATAGTCACGTCAGTCCCTGCCCACAAGGAGCTTACATTCTAAGTTCCCCATCTCACATGCATACATAGACACACACATACAAGGACTCAAAACAACATGAGTTACTTAAAATGTCACTAAGCCTATTCATTATAGCTGCTCTCCCGCAGTACACACAACACAGAAATGCAATTATTTTAGCAAATATAAACTACTAAATACCTTTTCTCATCAGCAGTATATATTATTATTATATACAGGAATTATACAGCGCCAGCGCTTTGCAAAATTAAGGTAGACATAACAGTTACAATACAATTTGGTACAAGAGGAAACAGAGGACCCTGCTCATTACAGCTTACAATCTAGGAGTCTTGTGACTTCTTTCAGTGTCCCGCCGAGCACTGGTTAACGATTGTAGGAGGAATTTTAATTCTCCCCTGACTGTTCTATGAGGCTGCATGACCCACCCATGACCCTCTGCCTGGACAGTGCTGATTGACCCTGTGCTGATCACATGCACCCAGGGGCGGACTGACCATTTGGAAATGTGGGTACTGCCCGAGGGCCCGGGGTCAGTAGGGGGCCCCATGAGATGCCCCTGGTACCTTTTTCATAGGCTTTTTTGAGTTTGGGCAAGGACACATGGGCCCCATGATCCCCTATTGCCCGGAGCCCCATGAGTTGTCAGTCCGCCCCTGCATGCACCCTCCCAAAAAAACAACAACAATACACACCAAACTGAGCATGTGCAGAGTGCCTCCTAGGGCTCTGTACTATCAGTAGATGGATTGAGGACTGTGAAAGAAGCGGAGGATCAGAGAAGACAGGGTCAAACAGCCTTTTTACACAATACAAAAGATTAACCCATTACGTTCCACAGTGAGGTGAGTATACCAAGCGTGCTTTACTGCATATACAGACTGATTTTACTGTTGTGGGTTTAGTAACAATTTAAGTGTGTTCATCATTTAGTCCATGGTTAAGATTATAATATGCATATATACACACACCATGTGTTGTCTTATTTCATGAACGTTTGCTCAACAGAAGGTTATCAGGTTGGTGAAGAATTGTTATTCTTCCAGGTGAAATGAACATTAACCCCTTCACGCCTAAGGGTAAAACAAATCTAAATGTCTAAGCACAATTTTGCAACATTGACATGTGATAGTAAAACCGTACATATCATCACAACTACTTTGTACAGCCAGGTGAATTATACCGCGTTTTTTTCAGAACAAATTGGGCTTTCATTTGGTAGTAAATGGTAATGGATATCTCCTGATTTTTTTTATTATAAAAGGAAAACTGGCCCAAAATAGTAAAAAAAAATTTTTTTTTTTTATTTAGCTGTGTGTTTCTTGTTACTACCATAACCTACCATCAAAGAACATCCCAAAATAAACTCTCCAGCTCTTGACGATTGCAGTGATACTATATATGTGTATGTTATTTGTTGTTTGTATCCCTAGTACATAGTACATTTGTTTTTGTCTTTTTTTTTTTTTACCTAAAACACACTGACATTGACACTAACTGACACTGATACCAATTTTTTTTAAATCCTGACCTTTGATCCGGACCTTTTGACCTTGACCTTTGACCCTGACCTTGACCCAAACAATAACCCTGGCACTGAACTAGTTCAAACCTTGATCTAGGTATTTTTTTCTGTATTGTTTATTTTATTTATTTATCTTTTTTTTTTAACAAACACATTTTTTCCCCTCTATGCCAGGAGTTACAGAGATACAATGTATCTCTCTCCTCCATTCATAGAGAGAGAAAAACAAGGGGGCCGGGCTGCACTGATTGATCACTGTGATAGCTAATCAGAGGCTATCACAGCAATCATGTGACCTGGAATTGGGAGTTCCGGGTTCCGATCATTAGAACGGGACACGGGGCTCTCAGTGACACCACGGTCTTTGTGCTGGGAGCGCGCAGTGCGGTGCACTTACAGCACAAAGACAGGTACACAAATATGCAGTCCCCCAGAAAAAAGCCCAGTTCCGTGAGGCCACATATTTGTGTGACGTCGGCGTCAAGGTTAAAATGATATCTACTGGATAGGGTTGGGGAGTGTTGAAGCACCAGACGGGTTTTTTTTTAGCTGCCCGAATCCTGACTGGGGAGATTTACTTTCTGTTTGTACTGGTGACCATTTTTACCAAGACAGGCAGTGACGAGAAATCCAAAATTTTCACCAGAACAAGAAGTCTAATCTTCCACTGGGACACCTCTTCTGGGGACAGTTGTGTGGCATTTCCCCAAAGAGGTTTGCACTTATTTCCTCTGTCTCTAGGACAGGAGGTAAATGGGACTATTGCACTTTTCCTTCAATGTAAACCAACTGATATAAGACAAAGGGGGTTATTGGTGCAAAACTGGTGCAGCTCTGCAAAGTCCCTAATCAGCTTCCAGGTTTTATTGATAAAGATCAACTGGACAAGCTGACTGGCCACCATGCACAGCTACACCAGATTCTGAATGCTCCATACTGACTTGCACTAAAATGCATGTACATTTCCATCCATTTTAGTTGCGTTTTAACGCACGCTAACGTTCCTTGACATAAATTTTGAAATCCGTTGACATACTTTTTGCATTTTAGTGTAACGCAACATTATGATGTGAATAGGACACATTGGAAATTATTATTTTTTAGATGTCTTTTCATTGATCTGCATTTTACAGCTGTGCTAAAACACACTGGTCTGAACTGGCCCTAGTAAATCTCCCCCAAATCCTTATTGCAGCATAGTGAGCACCATAAGATACTAAACAGTTTATAAACAAAAGAGAAGTGTGCGATGTGATTAGACATGCATCACATGTAAAGAAGCCCAAGAGTTTTTTTTAAAATATATTCTTCAGATTTTTTTTAACATATAAAAAAGTCGTTTTAACATATATATTTTTACATATATTTGTAAATGCATTCCAAAAATGTAGATTTGTATTTTTAAAGACATACAGTACATTTGAAATGTATTTTATAATATTTTTCATATATTTTGTAATAAAAACGCATTTCAACATACAGTATATATATATATATATATATATTGAAATATATTTTGAAATATGTAGGTGTCACATCCTTGTGGGGTTTTTGTTTTTATACATCAAATATCCCAAAACTATCATTTCCAGGGACTTAGTTCTAGTATAGCTATGACACAGCATGCTCTTTTGAGTATAAAGCCAAGATCATATGAATAGCAAAGAAAATGGTAAAAATGTTTTTCCCAGTATACTTAACAGCTAACCAGCAAAAAATGACATTGTCTAACAATTTGCTTTACAAACAGATGTTTTTTATTTGCACAACATTTGTAAATATAAGTGGCTCGTCAAGGCTCCTCTGTATAGTGTAGTTTTAATTCTAGCTAATTCTAGGTACCCCTGCACAGGGGTCTGCCATGAGGAAAACAAGGCATTTGCCTTGAGCAGCATTTTGCATGCGGGTGGCGCTGCCCCCAGGCAGAAGGGGCCAGGGCCCGGGCAAGAGGGGTGGCTCGGCAGGGCTAAGGCAGGGTGGGTGGGCTCGGCAGGGCTTGGGCAGGAAGGGCAGGGGAGGCAGTGTCTTCTGTACAATGTCTACTGTTTGACCATCTCCTGTATCCTGTACACAGTCTCTGACCATCTCCTGTAGTAAGTCCGCATTCTTTGACCATCTCCTGTAGTAGGTCCGCAGTCTCTGACCATCTCCTGTAGTAGGTCCGCAGTCTCTGACCATCTCCTGTAGTAGGTCCGCATTCTTTGACCATCTCCTGTAGTAGGTCCGCAGTTTCTGACCATCTCCTGTATCCTGTACGCAGTCTCTAACCATCTCCTGTATCCTTTCTGCAGTCACTGAACATCTCCTGTAGTAGGACTGCATTCTTTGACCATCTCCTGTAGTAGGTCCGCAGTCTCTGACCATCACCTGTACTATGTCTGCAGTCTCTGACCATCTCCTGTAGTAGGTATGCCGTCTCTGATCATCTCCTGCACAATGTCTGCAGTCTCTGACCATCTCCTCTACTAGGTCCCCAATCTCTGGCCAACTTCAGAGGTGGAGCCTAAAAAGGAAGGGTTGGAGTGTACAGATGAAGGGGTGGATCTTAAACAGGAAGAGATGGGACAAATTTAGATATGGAGGGGGGGGAGCGCCCAATTTTAGACTTGCCTAGGGAAGTACAAAACCAAAATATACCACTGCCCCCGCAGGAACAAAACGTATAACATCATATGAATTAAAATACAATTGTATTCACAATTCCAAAAATATTATATTTGGAAATGATCAAACAAGGCAGAGGTTAAATGGCCCTTGACACCAGGAACAATTGGCAATTGTGCATAATTGACTACTGTTTGTATTGCACCTGTTTTGAGTTTTAGGTTATCTACCTGTGTACCCATATTAAACCCTTGAGATAACTGTAAATCCTTTTTATTATACACACAGACATTAAAATATGTTCAGAACATATTTGCAGTTTGGGCCCTTTCACGCTAATGCATTTTTGCTGCACTAAAATGCATATGTCCAGTGCAACGTATCTATTCACATCTGTGGACTGCGTGGGTGCTGCACTTTAAGAAGTCCTCCATGCAGCATCTTTGGTGCACTTTGTAACAAGTGCACCAAAAATGCACCTTCCATACAAATCAATGGAAATACATCATAAAAACACATTGAGAACACATTAAAGGAGAAGTAAAGCCAAAGCTTTTTCAGCTGTACTTCTCCTGTGGATCACAGAAGAGAGCTGGTGATTGACAGTCATGGCTCTCTGCTCAGAGCGAATGGGAGAGCTGAACGATCATCAGTATTTGATTGCTCAGTTCTCAGTCTAAGAAGCTGTGGTGATGCAGCATGGGATCGATGTGGTATCCACCTAGGTGAGTATATAATTTTTTTTTTTCCAAACCCATACTTCTATTTAAAAAAAAAGCAATATGCCCAAAGCTGATGTATTCCCTTTTCTTTTTTGCCATTACTTTTTTCACATAATGTTTTTCAATATGTATCTTTCCTTTTGATGATTGTAACTTGTACAATGAATATTATGTAAAAAAAAAAAACGCAAAATGCGCTGAAATATTGCACTATTCAATGTTCCTAGGAGACATGACAGATATGAGCAGTGCTTGCTATATTAATGCAGTTAAAAACATAAGAAAAAATCATACCAACTGCTTGGAAGGGGCATAAAACATATTTTGGATGTTTTTATCCTTCAGCATGCTGAGGAAGTTCTATAATTGACTAAGGAATGCATTGTGAAAGGTGTGGAGACAGAAGCTAACATTGCAGCTGCAATCATTGCTCTACAGTTCTGAGTAAATATGAATGTGACAAAGCTTTGGGCTATAGGTAATAGGCCCAATTTACTAAAGCACATGTGTAAATGCTGGTGCATCAAATGTGCACAAACAAGCATGTAGGCAGGTACAGTCTATTTTCTCCACTGCAGGTGGCACTGTAGCGGCATTGTAGAGGGAGAGGAAATCAAGAGGAACATACTCCTCTATGGTTTCCTGGGTCACTGGGGAAAGTGATCTGGTTGGATGCTGCTACCTCATGAGACTCTGGTGGCCATTTGAGTCAGGCAGAGTCTATTTACGACCCCAGCTCCCTGGCTTGGAGCGTATTTTGGAGAGGATAGTGTAGAGACAGGTCTCCCATCTATCAGAGAAAGTGAATAGTGGTAGGGAAAGGTTCCAGATAAGTAAGGACAGGATAGGGACATGCCATCTTCCCTGGAATCCTCCCATTTGGACAAAGAATAGACAGGCAGCATTCTGCCCTCTGAAACAGACCCCGTCGGCACTGCTCTGTTTCACGTTCCTGTTAAGAAGTGCTAGTGTTCCCAGTCGGGTGCTCTCCTGTTGAGCTGTTTTTATCTTTGAACTTTGCCATCAATACAAGTTCTGGTTACTGCAACCAGACTCTGTGGGGTTGATTTACTAAAACTAGAGTTTCAAATCTAGTACAGCTCTGCACAGAAACCAATCAGCTTCCAGATTTTTTTTTTGGTCAAAGCTTAATAGAACAAGTTGAAATTAGAAGCCGATTCACAGCTGCACCAGATTTTGCACTCAGTTTTAGTAAATCAACCCTACTGTGTAATCACTGCTGCCGCACCATGCTGCACCTCCTCACAAGCAAGTCATATGCTCGCAGAATTTACTATTCATCTATGGTGTGTGTGAATGCAAGTGCACATATTACATTGTATACATACAAATGTGATTTGTAAAAACAATAATTGACCCTCACTGGTACCGTGCATCACTGGTACTGTACATGCTTGGATTTTTGTGCATATGTGCCAAAATTAAATCCCTGTACATAAGCTGCCTTTTTTCTGTGGCAGCATGATGCACAGGGTTTTTACCATTTGGCTTGACACAGGCTCATTTAATTGCTGAGTAATTCGCATTTTTTGGGGGGAAAATGTTTGCATATTCTGCATATTCATGTTGCAACACTATTTGGATAGTCCTGAAGCCGTTTCAGGCGAAATGTACGTAGAAAAAAAAAACATGATTCTGTCATATCGGGCTCTGGTGACGTCACGTCCGGCCGAGACAGAGGCTTGGAACGCACGTCGGCCATCTTAATCTGAATATACAGGCAATACATGCTGGTTCCGACTTCTTAGGCACTGTTTCATGTGAGTGTATTCAGTTTGTTAGTATTAATACTGTTAGCATATTAAATACTACACTTAGAACAGTTTTATTGTTGTGATTCCTTTCGAGTATTATGGCATGAACAGCCAGGATTATCTATTCGAATCCCTTCAACTATCATTTGGGGAATTTATTGGAAACTATGCAACAGTCCCTTTGGCTATCTAACCTTGTAGTGCGGGTGTTGGTGCCCACATGTGGAGGAACCTCCAGAGATTATCCTGATTTATAACACACAATGTGATATATGAACACTGTAATGGGGTCATATACAGTTGCAAGAAAAAGTATGTGAACCCCTTGGGATTATGTGGAGTTTTGCATGAATTGGGCATAAAATGTGCTCTGAACATCATCTAAGTCACAACAATAGAAGAACACAGTCTGCTGAACATAATACTACACAAACATTAGATGTTGCCGTGGTTTAATTGCACATAGCATGTAAACATTCACAGTGCAGGGAGGAAAAAGTATGTGAACCTTTGGACTTAATAACTGGTTGACCCTTCTTTCGCAGCAATAACCTCAACCAAACCTTTCCTATAGTTGCAGATCAGACCTGCACAATGATCTGGAGTAATTTTGGACCACTCCTCTTCACAAAACTGTTTCAGTGTAGCAATATTCTTGGGATGTCTGGTGTGAATCGCTCTTAAGGCCATGCCACAGAATTTCAATCGGGTTCAGGTTAGGACTCTGACTGGGCCACTCCAGAAGGCGTATTTTGTATTACTTGTATGCCTTGTGTCGTTGTCCTGTTGCATCACCCATCCTCTGCGGAGCTTCAGTTGGCGGACAGATGGTCGTACGTTTTCCTGCAAAATGTCTTGATAAACTCTGGAATTCATTTTCCCATCAATGACAACAATCCTTCCAGGCCCTGAGGCAGGAAAGCAGCCCCAAACCATGATGCTCCCTCCGCCATGTTTTACAGTGGGGATGAGGGGTGATCAAAGGGTTAAATGTGTGCTGGGAGTGTTTTACTAGGGGGCCATGTCAGTGTGCTTCACTGTAATCACACTGCTTTGGATGGGAGCAGTGAATCACACTGCTGTGCTGTGCACAGCCATCCAGAGCAATGTGCCCGAGCTGACAGGGAGGAGAACTGTTAGTAAACAAAACAGTTTTCCTCCGCGTTGGAGATCCTCGGAATTCAATGGGAGCCGGCGAGTAATCACCAGCCAAGAGTCGGTGATTGGCAGCTGCGCCACTGTGAATGTTTACATATTATGTGCAATTAAACCATGGCAACATCTAATGTTTGTGTAGTATTATGTTCAGCAGACTGTGTTCTTCTATTGTTGTGACTTAGATGACGTTCAGAGCACATTTTATGCCCAATTCATGCAAACTCCACGTAATCCCAAGGGGTTCACATACTTTTTCTTGCAACTGTAGGTCTGATGAGTGATCCATTCGTTTGCTTTTACATTGAGGTGTGGACACATGGATTTCTATGTCACCAAATTTTTAGGTCTAAGAAGGACTGTCACAATATGAATTTATCCAGCACTTGGTGGAAGGATAAGGACATTTTATAAAATTAGGACAATTTAGCCACTTTATATAGTTTTATTTTTATAATTTATTTGTGTTTGGTTTATGAATTGTTTGAAATTCATCTATTGGTATTCATTCACAATACTCATTATCCAGTTATTATATTGTGTTTGTAGGGTGCATATATACAATTCACAATTTATGTTACATATTTCATTTGAGTACAGTGCCTATCTATTTACCACTATAACACTATTTGGATGTTTAAAGTCGACTTTAATCCAAAAATGTATGTGTCACTTATAGTCTTACCTCCCCCATCCCCTAACTACTTTTCCAACTTTTTTATTTTTTAAGGGAAATTATATCTTTTTAACAGGTACCCAATCCCACTTCATCAATTCTTGTCTAGGCGAAGAAGCCATCAGTTTGCCTTTCCCCACCAGCCTCCTGAGTCGAGTCCCAGGATGCTGTCAGACCAGTCTCACAGAGCTGTGAGATCTTGTGAATGCGCGGTGGGGACTAGCTGTGAGACATCAGGATATATATATGTGATTTTGCATTTCCGGGTAGGAGGCAAATAGCCGCAGCTGCCAATCACCAACTCTCGGCTGGTGATTACTCGCCGGCACCCAGTGATTTCCGAGCATCTCTGATGCGGAGAAAAACTGTTTTGTTTACTAACAGTTCTCCTCCCTGTCAGCTCGAGCACACTGCCCTGGATGGCTGTGCATAGCACAGCCATCCAAAGCAGTGTGATTACAGTTAAGCACACTGACACGGCCCCCTAGTAAAACACTCCCAGCACACATTTAACCCTTTGATCACCCCTCATGTTAACCCCTTCCTGCTCAGTGCCAT